GTTTCAGCAGGTGAGTTTAACTCACGGTTTTGAAGTTTTTCTTTAGTTCTTTTGGGTGTTGTATAAACCTGTTGAAACTCTGAACTCGTTTGAGATTGGCTGGGAGGTTGTTGATGATTTTATGATGGCAAAATAGGGGCAATTAATTACAAACCTAGACAGAGATGTAGATTGCCAAATTTGAATGGTTTCAACCTTGATTTTGGATGATGGTTAAAGTATAACCTATATCTATCAATATGAATGCTTTTATATGTAAGAAGAAGTATAGAAATGATTTTTAATGGCTGAAAATCTTATTGGTGGCATACTAATACAATAAAAGCAGAAAACCATCACGGGGAAACTGTCTGATTTGGTGTTGTGAAAAAGGGACTATTTTTGAAGTAGCAAAACCTTCGTTTGTCACAAGTTTATGACATGATTACCTTCGCATACATGTTATAGAAGTGTCGTAAAAATTCGAGAGTCATTGGATATAGTTAAGGGTGTGAAAAAGGATTGAAAAAATAATTGGACGGTTATGAAAACCTGGAAACTGATTCTGTCAATTTGCATGTTTAATACAGTTTCAACCTTTACATGTCCATTAATTATCTCTTGAGCCTAGGAAATAGATTCTAAAGAGTGCTTACAATCATAAATATTTGAGAACAATTGAATGATATTGACTTTCATAATTGGACTCGAGAAATAGCGAGATTCATAGGACTACATCGGTAACTTCAAATGATGATATCGTATAAATTATTTTGGCGTGAATGGACGTATTTTGGGATTGTGTGTGTTTAAGATTATTAAATCTAGCATGCACAATATGATTTTCAATTGACTTTTTATCTCATAAATGTTTTGTTGACCACTACTAGGGCACGAGACATGTGAGGCATGCTGGTATAAGGCATGCTGGTATAATATATTCTTCCATCGCAGGTGATTGCAAAGGTAAATAGGGGACCACTCGACTGTATCCTTGTGGTGTTATGATTATTGGTGTTGTCGAGTGGGATACCTTTTGGGTGATCATAGGGACGGTTAGGGGATGGACCTCTAGTGGTCTTAAGAGGGTGGTCCACTCCCTAGTGTCGATTTCATATTAGTTATTTGATTATTGATATTAATATTGATATTGTGCAGAACTCTATCCGGTGCATAGTAGGTGGGTCAAAGGCTTAATAAAAGATTTCAAATGAAGTTATTTTGAGTTGAATTTGACGAATACTTGAATATGATGCATCTTTAGCATAATGTTTAAAGTAAATGGCATGGTGTCATATATTATTGTTATTCATGCTCATGACATGCAAGATTTTTTCTTATTGAGCATTAGCTTATGTAGGTAGGGACGGTAGTTGGGCTCGTCGGCTCGGGTCGCCCATGGCTCGACATGAAAAAAGCCCGAGAAGCAAAAGAGCATAATTGGAGAATCAAAAGAGAAATTCATAGGAGGAAAATATCAAGCAATTGAAAGTTTAACACATTGATTGGAAGAGGAAGGAGACCTAGATGCAAGAATTCTACTTTTTCTTCTACATCTTTACTACAAATCCGGTGATGTATTATAAGACAAATGATTGTTTTTCTTCCTTCATTATGAATAGTTAAATTCACTATTAGGGCAAATAATGTAACCAATTGAGATCTTTTATATTTTCTTATTAAGATTCTTGATTTTTACTGTTTCGTGTGTTGATTTTACTATGAAGTGAATGCATTAAATTATTTGATTAATAATTTGATGATTTCGTGAATCCTTTAAAAATAGAGATAAGAGTTTAAGATTTAGACCATGTAGTAAAATTCAATAAATTGGTATAACTAGGAGAGATACCTATCCATTTATTGCGGTCATAAGTGATTTCGACGACAAAAAACTCGTTTAACTAAATTGAATTTGCTTAGAGATATGAAATTTAATTAGTTAAATACACTCAATGAGAACTCGAGAGAGATAAATTGAATATAATAAGAGAATTCGACCGAACACTACATCAGATGTGAATCTTAATTTGAGATGTAAATGTGATCAATAGGTGACGTTATTATGTCATAACATCCATTCATTATTTGATTTTTAAATCAATCATGTGCACATCCATTTGTTCCTATTATTTAGATTAAAACTCAAATCCTACAACTTTTTATTTGTTTTCATCAAATAGTGGTTAAAAAAAAATTGAATTAAGTGCTAGATTATAGTCCTTGTGGAATCGACAATTCGTACTCTTAGGTTCACTATTACTTGTTACGATACGTACACTTGTGGGAATAAAATTGACAATAGCATATTTCCTCCATTGCTATTGATTTTAATGCTCATTAGAATGAGAATCCAAATTATATGCAATGCCATTAATTTATTTATGTTAAAGTTTAGTTTAATAGTTATCCCGTATAAAGGAGTTAGCAATCCAAGCTAATTCTTGATTTATTTACAAAGTCTAATAATTGTGTTGTTTTGTAATATATTTGTCGCAAAGAGAGATATACAAAGTCAATTCATCACAATAGGGTCGGTTTTTTCTTTCTTTCTTTTTTTCTACACATCCCATTAGCTCTAACAAATGATAAAGAATATCCAATCACATTCAAGAGAAAACAATTTTCAATACGTCTACGCTTTGCAGTAACCATTAACAAAGTTTAAGGACAAACAATGTCTATTGTTGGAGTATACTTTTCTGAACATGTATTTTCTCATAGACAACTATATATCTCAATTTCTCACAGAGTTTCAATGCAAACAACAAAAATCTTGATAAAAACAGAAAATAAAAAGAAGAAAGGTTATGGGACGTTGACAAAATATTGTGTACAAAGAAATTTATTCAACATTTTCATATTATATACACATAAAAAGTTTTATTCCTATATATATTTTTTTAACAATATCAATTACGTCAACTACTTTAAAAAATAGCAATAGTACTTAAAAAAATATTACGCATATCATTCATCTGATAAATAAGACATGCAACGCACGTGCTTACTACTAGTAAGTTAAAAAGAAGATCTTAGAGTGTCTAAAGTTCAATAGCAAAACCTGTGCGAAGATAATTTCACGTTTAATACAATTTGACATATTCATGATTCAAATTTTCAAATAATGAAGCGGAGCAAATGGATCCATGTTATCTTATTTTTTTTTTGGGAAATATGGTAGAGTAGTAAAAAATCATGATATTTGTGAAAATAAGTGTGTAGCAAAAACACAAGGCATCAAAATCGGGTCAAGTTATGCTCATGGTATATATTGCACACTATATCGAATGTTTAATAACAATCAAAATCTGAATTTCATTCTGGAGTATTTAAACTATTTTATTTTAAGCTATTTAAACTTCTAGGACTTTAGATTCTTGAAGAATATTTCCCATTCTTTGATTTCGCATGAAAATATAATCACAAAATTTGGTATACTCTTAATCTTGTTAGATTCAAGTGCTTTCTTCAAGAATTTAAAGCCCTTAAAAGCTGAAAATATAATCACAAAATTTGGTATACTCTTAATCTTGTTAGATTCAAGTGCTTTCTTCAAGAATTTAAAGCCCTCAAAAGCAAATACGATATTTGGGTTATGGTACGAAGTATCCTAAACAATACATTTTTGTTATCATAAATCAATTAGTGAGAACTGGGAGCCCAAAGATATACTTCCTTTTGCCAGAACTCAAATCAAACAAGCAAATAAGGAAGTTCTATCAAGTTCTTATACTTTTACATCTGCAAATAAATTCATGGAATAGTTAAGTAATAAATCGAATATTACCTTTGAAAAATGAATTTCGAATCTTGATATTAGAGATTATCCTTCAGCTAAAAAAACAAATGGATTAAAATTTAAGTGAAAGTTAAAAATTAATTTTAACCACACATTTTAAGGGACTTACAATTTTTAGCCACACATTCATTTATTTTCAAAATTTACGGAAAAATCTGACTTTTATCTAAACCAAACAAGAACTATGTTTATACTCAACATGAACCCTCTCTTCTCTTCTAGGACTTCAGTTATTAGCAAGATGACTTTCGACATGAAATATATTTAGTTTTTAAGAATATGGCACATCCCAGTCTATTACATGTGATGCATTTTTATACTTGCAAGTTCAAATGGGATAACTAAGAATTGGAAAGAAATAGACATCACAATTTAGATAGCTACTTCATCTTTTCCTATATAATTTACTTTATTTCAAATCAA